AAAGGGGGCNCTGGCAGCCAGCCGGGCACGGACCCCCCGGGAACATGCCGGCGAGCTACCGGTATCGCGGCCAAAGCATAATGGCGAAATTAAAAGATAGGGTAAAGCTTAAATTGCACGAAAGCGCTTGGAGCGCGGAAAATTTAAAGGACCAACCCCGAATGCCCGAAAAGGTACGAAAAAAGGGAAGGTTAAAAAAGGAACAATTTTTGTTAGCGATAGTACCTTTGGTAAAAAATTTACGGAAGCTTAACAAAAAAAATACCGCATTTGGCCCGTAACCCGGTAATTACCCGCTTTTGTACCGATTAACCTTTAATATATTGTTCCTTTTTTTATACCTTTTTTATTTAAAGAATAAGCCCGGGTAATTACCGAAAAGGATCGAGCAAATTTAAAAAGGGCATTTGCGATTTCGCACCGTTTATAATAACGCCCGACGCTACGTTAAGCACGTTGGAAGGGGCCGTTAAGCCACCGGAACAAAATACCAAAAAAGCTTTGCAAATTTCCAATAACTTTAAAAACCTTTTCGTAAAAAAGCTACAAAAAATAAACGACGCGCTAAAGGCCCAAAGCAAACGCGCCCGTTTAATTTAAAAAATCCAAAATAAAAGGTTAAAGCATGCGCATAAAAGCTTAAACGAAAATAAAAAAAACATTTTTAAACAACGAAAAGGTTTTACGTAAAGCAAAATTACTTTTAAGCTTTTTATGTTTAAAAAATCGGCAATTTGGTAAAATATCGCTTATTATATTAGCAATTACGAATTTATTTTCGAAAGCAAAGGGGAACGTTACGGTAAGGACCGTATAAAAATTTAAATAACTTCCAGCACTTTCGATTATCGTTAACGGGCACAATGGACAAAATACAAATAAATATATTACTTAAATACCGGGGTATCGTTTATTTAGGCCGATTTTTTGCGGTAACTTTAAATAAGGTCGAAAAACCCCGATTCGCGGATATGGCTGGCGATTAAAAAGCTTGCGGAAAATATCGCTATTAAGCAAAAGGATTATAAATCGTTTAAAACGTTCCGGATTCGTTAGGATTTGGTAAAGGACGACCTTTCCGAATTAGCACCCAAATGGATAAAAATAACATTGCTTTTTAACCGGTTTCGCCCCGAAATCCAAAAACGGGTAACATTTAAAAGCCTTCCTTACATTATAAAAAAATTGCAAACCAAAGCCCTTAAAGTAAAGATAATATCGGGACCGTACAAAGGGACCCCGGGGGATACAAATGTCCTAGCCCTTAAAAAGCCGGTTATTTATTTTAAATGCGGGCAGTTAGGCCATATCGCTACAGCATGCAAAATACGGACGGACAACCCGAAAACCCCGTTGGCCTTAGCAATTATACAAAAGGCGAAAAAGAAAAGGCCCGAAGTACGGTGTTACGGGTATAGGGAGCTAGGCCATATCCGGCCGGCGTGCTTTAAAAAAAGCAAAATATTGCTACCCAATTCGACACCGCTGTTTGGCCGTTTAGGCACCGGGGCTTAAAAGTGCGCCCCGGCGGCCAGGACGCGCTAAAAAACCGAAATGTATTTACGGATTAACGGTCGCCGGGTAAAGTTAAAGGCGCTGGTTAACAATAAAAGCTTTCCCGGAGTGGGTTAAAAGGATAGTTGCAAGACATGCGCAGCTTTATAAATCGGACCTTTTGCCAAAATATACAAGCTAAAACCACGCGATTGAATTAAAAAAAAGAACGATACCGCCTTACGAAAGCATTTATTTTTTATCCAAAAAGGAATTAAAAACCTTCCGGAGGTACTTCGACGAAGCTATAGCAAAGGGTTGGATTCGGCATTTAATTAACCCCGCCGGCGCCGGAATTTTATTCGTTTTAAAAAAGGACGGGAAGCTCCGCTTTTGTATCGATTATCGGGGTTTTAACAAGGTTACCAAAAAAAACCGGCTAACATTTCCGTTAATTTACGAAATATTTAACCGGGTATTTAAAAGCTAGTACTTTACCAAGCTGGATTTAAAAAACGTTTATTACAAAATACGGATTTAATAAAAAAACGAATAGAAAATTGCTTTTTGCTGCAAATATGGACATTACGAATACTTAATAATGCCTTTCGATTTGGCCAACGCTTTAGCAATATTTTAAAGCTTTATTAATATAGCGTTTGGGGAATTAATTAATAACAATTGCATCGTATATTTGAACGATATCCTTATTTTTTCGAAAATATAGGAAAAGCACCGCGAAATAGTAAAAACGGTGCTAAAGCGATTTAAACGGTTTAAGCTTTACGTTAGCCCGGCTAAATGCGAATTTAAAACGGATAATATCGATTTTTTGGGGTTTAGGATAACCAAATTTGGGGTTAAAATCCTACCGAACAAAATTATTGCAATTTTAAAATAAAAAATACCGGAAAGCGTTAAAAATATCCAAGTATTCCTAAACTTTACGGGATATTATTGGAAATTCGTAAAAAATTATGCGAAAATTACTATGCTTTTAACGGACTTTTTTAGCAAAAATACCGTATTTTACTTAAAAAATGTTGCGAAAAAGGCTTTTTGCAAATTAAAGCTGCTATTTACGAAAATTCCGGTATTGGTGCATTTCGACCTTTCGAAATCGCTATGCGTACGGACCAACGCTTTGGCTTTTGCGATAAAAGCGGTGCTATTGCAGCTATAAAACGGCCGGTAGCATCCGGTAACTTATATGTCGAAAAAATTGCAACAAAAAAAATTGCGTTATGCAATTTTTAATTTAAAATTGCTAGCAATCGTAAAAGCTTTCGAAAAATGGCGGCATTACCTGGTTTACTTACAAAAAATTGTTAAAATAATTACTAACCATTTAAATTATACCCATATTTTAACAAAGGAAAAAGTAATAAAGCGTTAAATAAAATGGTTCGAAAATTTAGCAAAGTACGATTTTACGATTAAATGGAAACCAAAATACCGGAATTTTGCGAATGGCTTATTAAAACGTCCTTAGGATATACCAATAAACGGGAAAGCCAATATAGCAAAAGAAAATTCCAAAGCGATTTGCTAGCCAAATTTCGAAAAGCAGCTTACGTAAAAACGACCACCATTAAAAAGGATATTAAAACGATATTAAAGCGCATTTTTAAAGCACAAGCAAAAAACGATTTTATTTAAAGCGGTACTTGGAAAAACAAGCCCAACGTTTAGGAAATTAGCAACGGTTTGCTTAAGCATAAAAGGAAAATTTAAATTTCGAATTTAATACCGTTTAAACGGATAATGCTTTAGGAATAATACGATAGCCTAACGGGGGGTTACAAAAGCATGGCCAAAATTTTAAAAAAGCTTAAACGGCAATTTAAATGGCCGGGTATAGCTAAAAACGTACGCAAATACGTACGGACGTATTAAATATACCAGCAAACGAAATTAAAAATATAAGCATTTTACGGGCTATTAGCATTTTTGCCCGTACCAAACCGTTTGGGACAAAAGTTATCGATGGATTTTATCGGAAAGTTTTTAACGTTAGTAAATGGAACCGGCAAAAAGCGCAACGCAATATTGGTAATGGTTAACCGGTTTACCAAATATAGCTTTTTTATCCCAACGTTTACGAAATTAACCAATAAAAAATTGGGGAACTTTTTATTTGCATACGTTTAAGGGCTATTAAAAACGCCCGAAAAGATTATATTAAACCGGAACAAATTATTTACAAACGGGTTTTGGACAACCTTTGCCGGACATTTAGGGGTTGCAAAAAGGTTATCGATAGCATACCATTTTTAAACCGACGGGTAAACGGAACGAACGAACCAAACAATAAAGCATTACTTCCGGTATTTTTGTTACGAAAAGCAAAACGATTGGGCGTTGTTATTGCATTTAGCAGCGTAAGTGCATAATACAAGCGTGCATTTGGGGTTGCAAAAAACCCCGGCGTTTTTATTAATAAGGTTTTACTTACGAAAACTTTATAACCTTTAAATGGTTAAAAAAAAACCTTTAATAACGGTTAAGGTTAGGGCGGGGGCCTTGGAAGCAATTAGGAAACAAGCCAAAAAATTGTTAAAAAAAGCGAATAATATGTACAAAAAGTACTATAATAAAAGCAGGACCCCGGTGCTTTTCGGGGTAAACGATTGGGTATTATTAAGTACGGCGAACATTAAAATAAAAAAGCCGTTAAAAAAGCTATCGAACAAATGGTTAGGACCTTTCCAAATTTTAAAAATAATTGGGTTAACCGGTTTAGCGTTCCGGTTAAAGCTTCCGGTAAATTACCGGATATACAACGTATTTCCGGCAAATTTGTTGCAAACGTTTAAAAAAAAGCCCGGCAAAAAACCAAAAAATAAAAAACCAAAAATCGAAAAAAAAAAAGGATTGTTTCGAAATAAAAGCTTTGTTAAAATATAAAGGGCCTTTGCGAAAACGAAAATATTTAGTTAAATGGATAAATTACAACGAATTGGAAAATTTGTAAATTCCAAAAAGGGATATTACGAAAAAAATTATTTAAGCGTATAAAGCAAGCTTATTGGAAGCGAATTTATAAAATAAGGAAAATACCGAACCTTAACGGGTAAATACCCGGAAAGGACGGGGGTATTATAAGAAAAGAGTAATAAAGGTTAAAAAAATGGCCCAAAGGAATGTTTTAACGTGCCGAACCGGCTAGCTACCGGGGAAAAACGTAAAAAAACCCGTAAACGGTTTGTAATAGCCGTAAAATATCGTACCTTATAAATAAAAAATTAAATGGGGACGGTATAGTACGAAAAACGCCTTAAATTAATAATGCGATATATTTAAATTCCGAAGGACATGCAAAGTATAATATATTTCGGAAAGCCCGTAAAGGGCATGCTTAGCGCAATACGCCAAAGCAATTACCGCATTTTAAACGTACGTCGTAATAAAAAATACCATTGCTTGCCCGGAAAAAAGGTAAAAAAATTTCCGAATAATACGGCAAACGGGCCTAAACGTTTGGGTAGCGGTAAATACATGTCGGCGGTATTTAAATTTATTAAAAAGCAAAAAAAAAGCATTTTAAAATTATTTATTGGGGCATTAAAACCTAGCTGGTAAATATAAATACCGGAATTTCGCAATGTTGCAAAAGCAATATAACGAAAGGAAATTATAATTTTAGCTATAACAAATTAACGAAAAAAATTTAAAATTAACCACTTTTTAAAAAGGGAATACCAATAATTAATTAGGAAAATATGTAAAAAAAATCGATTAAATGCCGTATCCAAAAAAACCAAAACCTTTGGAAATTACGTTTTTTTTGCTAGCGCTATAATTGTTGCCGCTAAAGTCGTCGGCGCCAAAAGCGGCACTTCCCGGCGCCAATACGAACGCTGCACCTTTACGAAAAACCGCGCGGTTATAAGCTTAAATATCCAAATGCGCCGTAATTGTAGCAAAGCTAACGGCAATGTTATTAAAAAAAGCAACTATATTTTTTTCGAAACGCTTAAAAAATGCTTTTATTTCGTTAAAGGAATTACCGATGCTAGCCAAAGCTTAAATTTGCTTTTTCGTTTAAACGGCGATAGCGTAAAGCTATTAAAAAATGTTTTGGGTAACTTTTAATATCGCAGCGCTAGTAGTTTTGCGCTGGATGCGCTTTTAAATAACGGTTTAACGTTCGTAGCGCGCAAATTGTTCGGCCAATATGGTATAAAAGGATTTAACCTTTTGGATAGCCTTGCGGGCGCGAAATTGGGCTTTAATAAGCTTTTCGAAAAGCTTCGGTATCGTTTTGGGCAACCGTTTGTAAACGGTATTTAAAATTTTGTAAAGGTTTTAAACCATTTTTTAAAATTATTCGAAAAGCTTAACGCAAGCTTTATTACCGATTACGTTTTTGCAATAAATACATTTAAAAAACCCCGTATAGTTATCGGAACATATCGGTATACGGGGGTTGATGGCATAATTTTAATATGCTTAACGACCAAAATAGCGGCTACAAAATACCGCACGTTTCGTATAATTGTTTTTAAAAAAGGGCAAATAAATAAAGTTTTAATTATCGCTTTATTGGAAATCGATAATTTCCCGCAACGGGAACGCGTTGCGGATATTTATATAAAGCGAAAAAAAAGTAATGTCCGTTTCGGGGGCAGGTTTATTAAAATCGAAAGCGTTGCGGCGGCGCTCGTTGCGCGCTTTACGCTTCTTTTCGGCGAAAATTTTTTTTGCCGCGGCGGCTAAAGCCCGCCGGGGGGTTACCGGCAAAACGTTTGCGGGAATTTTAAAAAGTTGCAAGCGCAAAAAGGCCCGATAAACCCGCGATATTTAAAAGGCTTACCGAAAGGTTACCGGCAAAGCGATCGTTAAGGATTTAAAGGATTAAAGGCTTCGGTAAAACCAAATCCGAATCCGATTAAATTACGATAGCTAAAGAAAATACCGGGGGGTCGTTAAAAAGGGCTAACGGGCCGGCTAGGACCGAAAAACCCGAAGCGGATACTTAAAAGAATACTACTTTTTTTACGTAATCGGGTACAAAGGATAACATTTATAGCTACCAATTAAGTCCAAATATTTAAAAAGAGCGGCCAAATACCGATTACTTACGGTTACAATCGTTAAAATTGTTAAAATGGTTGTTAAATGCATAAAAAAAAAGAAAAAGGGTTCGTAGCTTCGAGCGGGAAAAAAAGCCTTTTATATGCCGGTACGGACTTACTTTTCCAAATGCTACAAAGCTTTATAACCGGTTTCCCCAAGCGTTGCCGGGCATTAAAGCGGTTTAGCGGGATACCGTAAGCTACCGGCTACTTACGGGGTCGCACGCGCGGCATAAACGGCTTGGGACAAGCCGTATCGGAAAGGGGCAATATATTAAAAGCACGGGCAAAACCGCCCGGCAAAAAGCGGGGAGCGTTAAATGCACGGGCAAAACCGCCCGGCAAAAAAGGAAAAAAAGGGCGCTAGCAATTAGCCGGGCACAAACCCCCCGGGGATATACCGGCAAATTACCGGTATTGCGGCCAAAGCATAATGGCAAAGTTAAAAAATAAAGTAAAGCTTAAATTGCACGAAAGCGTTTAAAACGCGAAAGATTTAAAGGACCGACCCCGGGTGCTCGAAAGGGTACGAAAAAAGGGGAAATTAAAAAAGGAACAATTTTTATTGGCGATAGCACTTTTGGTAAGAGATTTACGGAAGCTTAACAAAAAAACACCGCATCCGGCCCGTAACCCGGTAACCACCCGCCTTTGCACCGATTAACCCCTAACAATACAATCCGGGCAATCCTATTCCCAAAGCCGGCGTAACATACAAACGCAACTCCTAAAACCCCATCCAAAGTGTATTTCGTTGGAAAAACGTACGTAGTACCAATCTTTTTTTGGCCGTACTTTTTAAGCATTTGGCGCGCGCATTTAACCTTTTTAACTTTCGCTTAAAAGGATATGAAGTAACGTTAGCATAAAAGGCAACTTCGAAATTAGCGCGTTTTCATGGCTTTTCAAATCGTTGGGATAAAAGCTTGTATATTAAAGCTAGCTGCAGCAGGAAATTGGGCCCAAGTAAGTATACGCCCGTTGTACCCGTTCTTTATAATCACCGCTTTTATTTTATTAATATATTTTTGTTAGGGGTTAATCGGTGCAAAGGCGGGTAGTTACCGGGTTACGGGCCGGATGCAGTGTTTCTTTTGTTAAGCTTCCGTAAATCTCCTACCAAAAGTGCTATCGCTAACAAAAATTGTTTTTTTTTAACCCCCCCCTTTTTCGTGCCCTTTCGGGCACGCGGGGTTGGTTTTATAAATCTTTCGCGCTCCATGCGCTTTCGTACAATTTAAACTTTACTTTATTTTTTAACTTTGCCGTTATGCTTTGGCCGCGATACCGGTAATTTATTGGCATATTTCCGGGGGGTTTGTGCCCGGTTGGTTGCTAGCGCCCCTTTTTTTTTTTTTGCCGGGCGGTTTCGCCCGTACATTTAACGCTTTCCGCTTTTTAACGGGCGGTTTTGCCCGTGCTTTTAATATATTGCCTTTTCCCGATACGGCTTATTCCAAACCGTTTGTACCGCGCGTGCAACCCCGTAAATAGCCGGTAGCTTACGGTATCCCGTTAAACCGCTTTAATGCCCGGCAACGTTTGGGGAAACCGGTTGTAAAGCTTTATAACATTCGAAAAAATGGGTCCGTACCAGCATATAAAAGGCTTTTTTTTCCGTTCGAAATTACGAACCCTTTTTTTTTCCTTTTTGTGCATTTAACAATTATTCCAACAATTTTAACGATTGTAACCGTAAATAATTAATATTTAATTGCTTTTTTTAAATATTTAAATTTAACCGGTAGCTATAAATGTTATTTTTTGTATTTAATTATGTAAAAAAAGTAATGTTCTTTTAAGTATCCGCTTTAGGTTTTTCGGTTCCAACCGGCCCGTTAACCTTTTTTAACAACCTTTTGGTATCTTTTTTAGCTATTATGGTTTAATTAAACCCGGATTTGGATTTGCCGAAGCTTTTAATCCTTTAAATCCTTAACAATTGCTTTACCGGTAACCTTCCGGTAAGCCCTTTAAATACCGCGGGTTTATCGGGCCCTTTTGCGTTTGTAACCTTTTAAAATTCTTGCAAACGTTTTGCCGGTAACCCCCCGGCGGGCTTTAACCGCCGCAACAAAAAAACCTTCGCCGAAAAAAAGCGTAAAGCGCGCGACGAACGCCGCCGCAACGCTTTCGATTTTAATGGATTTACCCCCGAAACGGACATTGCTTTTTCCTTGCTTTACATAAATATTCGCAACGCATTTCCGTTGCAAAAAGTTATTAATTTCCAATAAAGCAATAATTGGAATTTTATTTATTTGCCCCTTTTTAAAAACAATTATACGGAGCGTACGGTATTTTGTAACCGTTATTTTGGTTGTTAAGTATATTAAAATTATACCGTTAACCCCCGTATACCGATATGCTTTAATAATTGTACGAAATCCTTTAAATATATTTATTGCAAAAACGTAGTTAGCAATAAAGCTTGCGTTAAATTTTTTAAATAATTTTAAGAAATGGCCCAAAACCTTTATAAAATTTTAAATACCGTATACAAGCGGTTTTTTAAAGCAATACCGGAACTTTTCGAAAAGCTTATTAAAATCCAATTTCGCGCCCGCAAAACCATTTAAAAAGCCAAATCCTTTTATACTATATTAACCGAATAATTTGCGCGTTACAAACGTTAAGCCGTTATTTAAAAGCGCATCCAGCGCAAAACTATTAGCGTTACAATATTAAAAGCTACCCAAAACATTTTTTAATAATTTTACGCCATTGCCGTTTAAACGAAAAAGTAAATTTAAGCTTCGGTTAGCATTAATAACTTTTTTAATAAAATAAAAGCGTTTTTTAAGCGTTTTAAAAAAAGTGTGGTTGTTTTTTTTAATAACATTGCCGTTAATTTTGTTACAATTGCGGCGCATTTAAATACCCAAACTTACAGCCGCGCGGCTTCCCGTAAGGGTGCGGCGTTCGTATTGGCGCCGGGAAGTGCTGCTTTTGGCGTTAATAATTTTAACGGCAACGATTGTAACGTTAACGAAAAGAACGTGGTTTCCGGAAGTTTTGGTTCTTTTAAATACGGTATTTAATCGATTTTTTTTATATATTTTTTAATTAATTATTGGTATTCCCTTTTTAAAAAGTAATTAATTTTAAAAATTTTTCGTTAATTTGTTATAGCTAAAATTATAATTTCCTTTCGTTATATTGCTTTTGCAACATTGCGAAATCCCGGTATCCATATTTACCAATTAAGCTTTAATGCGTTAATAAATAATTTTAAAATGCTTTTTTTTTGCCCTTTTAATGGGTTTAAATACCGCCGATATGCATTTGCCGCTACCCGAACGCTTAAGCCCGTTCGCCATATTATTTAAAGGTTTTTCTATTTCCTTTCCGGGCAAGTAATAATATTTTTTACTATAACGTACGTTTAAAATGCGGTAATTGCTTTGGCGTATTGCGTTAAGCATGCCCTTTACGGGCTTTTTAAGGTATGCTATACCTTGCATGTTTTTCGGGATTTAAATATATTGCACCATTAATTTAGGGCGTTCCCCGTACTATACCGTTTTTACCTAACTTTTTGTTTATAAGGTACGATATTTTACGGTTATTACAAACCGTTTACAAATTTCCTTACGTTTTTTCCCGGTAATTAGCCGGTTTAATACGTTTAAAACATTTTTTTAGGCCATTTTTTTAGCTTTTATTATTCCTTTTTTGTAATACCCCCGTTCTTTCCGGGTATTTACCCGTTAAGGTCCGGTATTTTCCTTATTTTGTAAGCTTGCTTTTAATAAGCTTGCTTTATACGTTTAAACAATTTTTTTTGTAATATTCTTTTTTAAAATTTACAAATTTTCCAATTCGTTGTAATTTATTTATTTAACTAGGTATTTTCGTTTCCGCAAAAGCTTTTTATATTTTAATAAAGCTTTTATTTCGAAACGATCTTTTTTTTTTTTTTAATTTTTGGTTTTTTATTTTTTGGTTTTTTGCCGGGCCTTTTTTTAAATGCTTGCAATAAATTTGCCGGAAATACGTTATGTATCCGGTAATTTACCGGAAGCTTTAACCGGAACGCTAAACCGGCTAATTTAATTATTTTTAAAATTTAAAAGGGTTTTAACCATTTATTTAATAGCTTTTTTAACGGCTTTTTTATTTTAATATTTGCCGTATTTAGTAATACTTAATTGCTTACCCCGAAAAGCACCGGGGTTTTGCTTTTGTTATAGTACTTTTTGTACGTATTATTTGCTTTTTTTAACAATTTTTTGGCTTGCTTCCTAATTGCTTTTAAAGCCCCCGCTTTAATTTTGGCCGTTACCGAAAGTTTTTTTTTAATTATTTAAAAGTTATAAAGCTTTCGTAGGTAAAACCTTATTAGCAAAAACGCCGGGGTTTTTTGCAACCCCAAATGCACGTTCGTATTGTGCACTTACGTTATTAAATGCAATAGCAACGCTTAATCGTTTTGCCTTTTGCAATAAAAGCACCGAAAGTAATGCTTTATTGCCTGGTTTGTTCGTTCCGTTTGCCCGTTGGTTTAAAAGTGGTATGCTATCGATAGCTTTTTTTTAACTTTTAAGTATTTGGCAAAGGTTATTTAAAACCCGTTTGTAAATAATTTGTTCCGGTTCGATACAATCTTTTTGGGCGTTTTTAATAGCTTTTAAACGTATGCAAACAAAAGGTTCCCCAATTTTTTATTGGTTAATTTCGTAAACGTTAAAATAAAAAAGCTATATTTGGTAAACCGGTTAACCATTACCAATATTGCGTTGCGCTTTTTGCCGGTTCCATTTACCGATATTAAAAATTTTCCGATAAAATTTATCGATAGCTTTTGTTCCGGGCGGTTTGGTACGGGCAACGGTATTAAAAACCCGTAAAATGTTTGTATTTTTGGCTTTATTTATTAATATATTTAATACGTTCGCACGTATTTGCGTACGTTTTTAACCATACCCAACCATTTAAATTGCCGTTTAAATTTTTTTAAAATTTTGGCCATGCTTTTGTAACCCCCCGTTGGGTTATTGTATTATTTTTAAAGCATTGCCCATTGCAATAGCGCTAAATTTGGAATTTAAATTTTTTTTTTGTGCTTAAGCAAACCGTTGTTAATTTTTTAAACGTTAGGCTTGCTTTTCCAGGTACCGCTTTAAACGAAATCGTTTTTTGCTTATGCTTTAAAAATGCGCTTTAGTATTATTTTGGTATCCTTTTTAGTAATGGTTGTTTTTACGTAAGCTATTTTTTGGAATTTGGCTAGCAAATCGCTTCGGAATTCCTTTTTTACCTTGTTAGCTTTCCCGTTTACGGGTATGTTTTAAAAACGTTTTAACAAATTATCCGCGGGGTTCCGGTATTTTGGTTTCCATTTAATCGTAAAGTTATACTTTGTTAAATTTTTAAATTATTTTGTTTGGCGCTTTGTTACTTTTTCCTTTGTTAAAATATGGGTATGGTTTAAATAATTGGTAATTATTTTAATAATTTTTTATAAATAAATTAAATAATGCCGTTACTTTTCGAAAGCTTTTACGATTGCTAATAGCTTTAAATTAAAAATTGCATAACGCAGCTTTTTTTATTGCAATTTTTTCGATATGTAAGCCATTAAGTATTACCGGCCGTTTTGTAATTGCAATAGTACCGCTTTTATCGCAAAAGCCGAAACGTTAATCCGTACGCACAACGATTTCGAAAGGTTAAAATGTACCAATACCAAAGCTTTCGTAAATAGCAGCTTTAATTTGTAAAAAGCTTTTTTCGCAACATTTTTTAAGTAAAATACGGTATTTTTGCTAAAAAAGTTCGTTAAAAGCATAATAATTTTCGCGTAACTTTTTACGAATTTCCAATAATACCCCGTAAAGCCCAAAAATATTTGAATATTTTTAACGCTTTCCGGTATCCTTTACTTTAAAATTGCAATAACTTTATTTGGCAAAATTTCGACCCCGAATTTGGTTATTTTAAACCCTAAAAAATTAATACTGTTTGCTTCGAATTCGCATTTGGCCGGGCTAACGTAAAATTTAAACCGTTTAAATCGTTTTAGCACCGTTTTTATTGCCTTGCGGTGCTTTTTTTGTATTTTCGAAAAAATAAAAATGTTATTTAAATATACGATGCAATTGCTATTAATTAATTTCCTAAACGCTATATTAATAAAGCTTTAAAACGTTATTAAAGCGTTGGCCAAACCGAAAGGCATTATTAAGTATTCGTAATGTCCATATTTGCAACGGAAAGCAATTTTTTACTCGTTTCCTTATCGGATCCGTATTTTGTAATAAACGTTTTTTAAATCCAACTTAATAAAGTATTGGCTTTTAAATACCCGGTTAAGTATTTTGTAAATTAGCGGGAATGTTAACCGGTTTTTTTTGGTAATTTTGTTAAAACCCCAATAATTAATATAAAGGCAAAGCTTCCCGTCCTTTTTTAAAACGAATAGGATTTTAGCGTTAGCGGGGCTAGTTAAATGCCAAATCCAACCTTTTGTTATGGCTTTGTTAAAGTACCCCCGGAAAGTTTTTAATTCCTTTTTGGATAAAGGATAAATGCTTTCGTAAAGCGGCATTGTTTTTTTTTTAATTTAATTGCGTGGTTTTAATTTGTATATTTTAGCAAAGGGTTTAATTTATAAAGTTGCGCATGTTTTGTAATTATTTTTTTAATTTATTCCGGAAAAGCTTTTAGCCCGCCCCCGGGGTTTTCCAGGGTTTCCGGGCGTATAACCGTTAGTACGGTTATTGCTTGTTCCAATTAAATTAATTTTTTAGCTATTTCTAACGAAATTACTTTAACCTTTTTGGTAATTACCAGGAACTTTTATTTTATATTTTTAAACCGGATTTTAATGTTTTTTTGCTAAAGCTAAAGCATGCTTAACGTAATGTTGTACCCGGCCCGGGGCACCATTACGTAAAATACTATTAACTTTCAGGTTACTTTTTAACTATCCGTTACCCAAATTTTGTATTTCTTTACCTTTAGCGTAAGCATGCGTTTTTTGGTATCGAGCCACGCCAGGTAGCTTTCGTTTGGCATCGGTATTTTTTTTGCTTTTACCAAAAAACGGTTGTACAATAAGTTAATGTTGCTTTTATTGTTAACCAGCGCTTTTAATTTTACCCGGCAACCGTTAATCCGTAAATACATTTTGGTTTTTTAGCGCGTTTTAACCGCCGGGGCGCACTTTTAAGCCCCGGTATTTAAACGGCTAAATAGCGGTATTAAATTGGGTAAGGATATTTTGCTTTTTTTGGGGCACGCCGGCCGGATATAGCCCAATTCCCCATACCCGTAATACCGTATTTCGGGCTTTTTCTTTTTTGCCTTTTATGTAATTGTTGGGGCCGATAGGGTTTCCGGGTTGTTCGTTCGTATTTTGCATGCTGCAACGATGTAACTTAATTGCCCGTATTTAAAGTAAGTAACCGGTTTTTTAAGGGTTAAAACATTTGTATCCTTTGGGGTTCCTTTATGCGGTTCCAATATTATTTTTGCTTTAAAGGCTTTGGCTTGCAATTTTTCCATAATATAAAGAAAGCTTTTAAATATTACCCGTTTTTGGATTTTGGGGCGGAGCCGGTTAAAAAGCAATGTTATTTTTGTTTATTTGGGTGCTAATTCGGGAAGGTCGTTTTTTACTAAATTTTAGCAAATCCGGAACGCTTTAAACGATTTGTAATCTTTTTGCTTAATAACGGTATTCCCCGCGAGCTTTTTAATTATTAATTACATTTGCAAATTGGGGGTTTTTAATTTTATTTAAAATTATTGCAAAAAATCGGTTTAAATAAGCAATACCCCGGTATTTAAATAATGCATTTGCTTGTATTTTGTCCATTATATTTATTGCCGATAATTAAAAGTGCTAAAAGTTATTTAAATTTTTATACGGTTTTTACCGTAACGTTCCTTTTCGTTTTCGAAAATAAATTTGTAATTATTAATGTAATGGGCAATATTTTGCCAAATTACCGATTTTTTAAGCATAAAAGGTTTAAAAGTAATTTTGCTTTAGGTAAAACCTTTTCGTTGTTTAAAAGTATTTTTTTATTTTTATTTAAGCTTTTATGCGCATGCTTTAACCTTTTGTTTTGGATTTTTTAAATTAAACAAGCGCGTTTGCTTTGGGCTTTTAGCGCGTCGTTTATTTTTTGCAGCTTTTTTACGGAAAGGTTTTCGAGGTTATTGGGAATTTGCGGGGTTTTTTTGGTGTTTTGTTCCGGTAGCTTAACGGCCCTTTCCAACGTATTTAACGTAGCGTTAAGCGTTATTGTAAGCGGTGCAAAATTACAAATGCCTTTTTTAAATTTGTTTAATCCTTTCCGGTAATTACCCGGGCTTGCTTTTTAAATAAAAAAGGTATAAAAAAAGGAATAATATGTTAAGGGTTAATTAATGCAAAAGCGGGTAATTACCGGGTTACGGGCCGGATACGGTATTTTTTTTGTTAAACTTCCGTAAATTTTTTACCAAAAGTGCTATTGCTAACAAAAATTATTCTTTTTTTAACCCCCTTTTTTTTCGTGCCTTTTCGGGCATGCGGGGTTGGTTTTATAAATTTTTTGCGTTCCATGCGCTTTCGTGCAATTTAAATTTTACTTTATTTTTTAATTTTGCCGTTATGCTTTGGCCGCAACATTGGTAACTTGCCGGCATGTTCCCGGGGGGTCCGTGCCCGGCTGGCTGCCAGCGCCCCCTTTTTCCTTTTTTGCCGGGCGGTTTTGCCCGTGCATTTGACGCTCCCCGCTTTCTGCCGGGCGGTTTCGCCCGTGCTCCTAACAATTTTTTTAGAAAAAAAGCTTTTTCCAGCTTCGGAATTCGCCTGCGGGTTGGTTGTAGTAAGTGCGAGCATTTTAGGCGCGGTTTTCGCGTAAGATCTTCCAACCGGTAGCTTTAGTAACCCCTTCGCGTCGAAAAATATCGCTTTTTTAATAAAAAATTAAGTAGGAATCAAGATAATTAACAGCGGCTTGGATACGTGCTTTTTTGGGCGTGTTAAGGTGCGTAGGCATTGCGAATTGATTGAATTGGGTTTGTTGTAATGTTTTGTTCCTAAGGTTTGTTAAGGGAAAAACATTTATGGGGATCATTTTTTTTTCATGCGGTGCGACCCTTCCCGTCGTCGTCAACAAGCCACTAAGCAACGCCGCTTGGAGCCGCCTGCACCGGTGATATCAACCACACGCTGCCATCTTGGCTGAGAGCTCGTCACTAGCCCTGCCGACTTCGCACGAGCTTCATCTCCCAGGAAATACCATGACGTCACTAACAGGAGCTCCCGTCCGCGGTTCGGCGGATCTGGACGCCCAGACGGCTTGTTCTAGATGGACCAGGGGGGCTACGCAGGTGGCAGGGGGGGAATTAAAATCTGCTGTGTTGTCGGCACCGGCGGCATTCGAGGGAGACGGAGATGCACCAGCGCGCTCCCACCCCTACTGCCCTTTGATGGTGCAACCCCCTAGCTCCAAACTCTCGAGCCGGGCTCCCGTCGTTGCGACACGGTTCCTTTGTGACGCTTACTGTGACGCTTACCGCTGTTGGATTTGGGAGTGAGGGTCGGTCTGTACAGCAAGTACCAGACAGATGCACGGCGGCTGTGGCGATCCGTCACGCCACGCCACGGCTGGATCTCAACAACAACCTGCAGCCACGCAAACATGGATGATGCGGTGTTGGAGTTGCCGCCTCGTATTTCCGGCAGTCCAAGCTCGGACGGAGAGAAACCCCTCCTCGAACCACAGCTAGGCCCCACTAATTCGCAGCCAGCGGGCCCACTGCGCCTAAAAGCCCAGGAGAGCTTTTGGCTTTCACATGCAAGCCGCTTGCAGAATCTGCAACCCAGAATCTGCAAGGACCCCTTTTTCGCTTGTTTTCTCTCCAATGATGGCTCGACCAGCGCTTCCGATCGGCCATTCGCCGGCCAATACCAGGCTTCCCAGCATTCTATCTCTCTCGATGCCTGTTCGAGCAGCCGCAGCTTGGATAAGCAGAAAAAGGAATAAAGTCCCGACGAGACCTCCATCCCGGCCAGGTCCGGCGCCAATCCGATAACATGTTTCCATTTTTACTAAGATCCTGGCCATGGTGCCACCCCGCGGCGGCACAGCTGGGGATACACTCGCCGAGATGCCCTGGTTCTCCATGAAATGCATGTTCCGAAAGTGGACGGTTGCTTGATAAGGGTATGCCTCGAACCTCGGGCCAGTACACCCGAGGCAGCCAGCCAGATAACAAAGAGACAAAAATAAGAAGCAATATATGCATACGCGTTGCTATCTCTGGCTGCTGCGGCTTGGAGTATGTATGCGCCTCGTCATGTCGACGACAGATGTGCCACCTACTTCACATCCACCTAAAGACGAGTCCAAAGTTTCTTTTTCCTGCCACCATTTTCGGAGTTGATGCTCCTAGCATTTTGCGTGGCTTTTTATGTACATCTGAATCAGATATTTCCATGAGCCTCGATGAGTTTGCAGGCCGTAATTTGACATGGTTAGATAAGATGATGCTGCTTCCACCTTTTCCCGCCATCCATTCCATGGCTGTCGGCCTCACGTCCTTGATGACCTCCTTGACGCGCACCGAGAAGCC